TGTAGATCTGGAGGAAGGTCTTAATCCAGCTGAGGGCTGTGGGCAGCTCAGGTGAGTTTCTGATATTGCAATCTGTACTATATCTTGCATCAAAACCTTCTGCCTTGGGTGCATGTGGCTCTGTTACCACAGATCAGAGTGCTCTGCAAGCTTTGATGTGATCATCCTCACAATGCCTCAGAATGAGTGAAAGGTTGTTTTCTGCACTTAATAGATAAGGCTAAGTTATAAAATTCCGGATTCCTCTCAATCAACAAAAACATCCAAGCTAAGGTTTAATCAGTGCAGGTTCTCTTGGTAATTGTTAGAGCGCCATAAGCATGTAAAGAGGGCACTCCAGATTTCGGGAAGCTTTTGAGTAATTAGCTTCCTGCATTGGGTGTCTTCAGTAGCACTGAAAATCAGCCAGAATAAGTATGAGCCAGTCTGGGAGTAAGGCACTTGGGTAGTCTGAAACTCTTGCTAGAGTTTAATTCTGACATTTAAATGTCAGAATGCCTTAAAAAACATGTAGCTGCCTAAATATTATTCCTGTAATTTGAAGCTATTTTTGGTGGTTCCTTCTGTAGCCAGTGAAATGAGAGTGGTGTCTCCAAAGGCCAGCAGACTCCATCTTAAGGAAGTTCCCTCCTGAGAGGGGTTTGTTACACCCATCTTTCCCCCTTGACTATTAATGAACACCTTGTGTTTAGGGAGGCAGTTATTTTAACATAGATATAGCCTATGCCATTCTAGATGCTTTCAGGTATCCCACATGGGAAGCCTGCATGAAAGCTCCAGCTGAGCTTTCAGAAAAGTCCAGGTCTCATGTCATATCTGTGAGCCCCAGTAAATGTCTTGGATACTATATTGTATTTAACATGATACTAGACCTTTTGTGTCACACTCCTGTGTATAAGGAACTGAATTGCTCTCCTAATTAGTGTCCAGCTTTTGGCTGGACGAAGTTAGAGGTGATGATGACTCATGCCCTAACTGACTTGCTTGAAGATACTGATGGCAGAGGCCTGTGTTTACAAGCCCAAAAAAGAGCAAAGAAGAGGATTCTGGGAAGTATAAATCCATCATCATAACCATGATAATGAGAGTCAATTATCAATCAATTTGTAAGCACTTAAGTGATAAGAAGGCAGTAGCACATATCAACTTGGATTAATCAAGAACATATCACTTCAAATTAATTCAGTGTCCTTATTTGAAGGACTAACTAGCCAAGTCTATAAAGAGATGTGATATATGTTGACTTTGTTAGTGTCAAAAGCCTTACTCTTCTTATAAACAAAACTGTGTAATGAGATCTAAATTAGATCAGGAGTAGAATAAGCACATAATGTTTGAATCATACCAAAGCACAGATCTGTAGTTCACTGTCAAAGCTGGATGTGCCAAATGGGATCCGACAGGCGTCTGTTGTGGTCCCAATGTTTCCAACAATAAATTGGCTACTGAGAAAGAGGGTACTTAGTGCAACTTCCGAGAGCGCTGGCTGGGAGAGGCTGGGAGGGCTTGATTTGGAGAACAGGATCAGACTCACATTGATCTTCACAGATTGGAGAGCTTGCCTGAAATCAATAAACTGCACTGTCATAAAGACAAGTACAAAATGCAGCCTTGGGACAAAAGACAGCTCAAATGTGCAGTTTGTGAAATGAGGAATAACTGATAAGGCAGCAATAATGCAGGAATGGATCAACTGGCTGTTGTTAACCATGCACTAGGTAAAGTAGGATAAAGTCTTTGCAGAAAAACAAATGTCATTTGAGGATATATTATCAGCAGTGTTTTGGGTAAAACACTAAGGTAATTATTCTGCTATACTTGGCACTGGTGAGGCTTAACCTAAGTAGTGTCTGGTTTTGGGCACTGCACTTGAAGAAAAGCTATGGGGAAATTAGCAGAGAAGAGCAAAAAATGTGAAGAGGTTTAAAAAGCGCACACTGAAGGGAAATTAATTTGCTTAGTCTCAGGAAGAGGTCATTGAGAGGTGATATGAAAACAATCCTCATTATGAGTAAAAGTGGAATGCACAATGCTCTCCCATGCCTACTAGAAAGTGAGCATAGGAGAAGAGGTACCAGGCTGGGCAAAACACTGCTATTCATGTGTAGACAACTTCCAAAGAAAATGCAGCATCTCCTTGTGTAGATGTTTTTCATGTCCCTGACTTGGTTAATAATTCTCCACAAAGATAAAAGCCTCAGGGCTAAATGGGTGCAGAGATGTGATTTTGCAATGCCTAAATTGTAGGTGCTGGGCACCCAGCCCCAAGGCTCCTGCTATGGTGAGAGGCGGGTTGATCAACAAAGTGTGTGAGAGTGAGCCAGTGGGCTCAGCAGGGAGCCAGCAAATCTAAGGTTTCTAACTCTGGGCTGGAGAAAAATCCAACTGCACTTAGAAGTGAGGACTGAGGGATCTCCACTGGAAATCCTCTCCTGGAACAAAACAACCATGGCAGCTCAACTCTTCCTAGCTAAAAATCATCAGGATAGTTTTCACATCATATTACAGCCAAGACTATTAAACAAAATACCAACTGTGTAGGATGTCTCCTGAGGTGAGGAACTTGTAGGGTTAGACAGGAGCTGAGGCGAGATCGTTGAGGAATGTGGACCCCTAAGATGCTTTTAGGCCTCTGGTTTTACCTGCATCTCTAAATCTTGCATCTGTTTCCAAGACAGGCATAATTTACTTAAACCTCAGCTCTACTAAATAGTATCTAATAATTTTAATAGAACAACCTACTGCTTGAGTGCTAAAAGCCATTAGACAAATTCACAAAAGAGAGAGAAATGTATCAAGAGCTCTTAGACACACAGAAGTAATCTCTGGCAAAAGCAGTCGCCGAGCTCTTACCACTGTCACAGGCAGGTGAGGGAATGGACCTGTGCCATGGCCTGGGATAGTCATCACTGTGCTCTTATGGACTCAGTGGAAAATTTTCACAAACAATTTTAGAACAAAAGAAGAACTCTGCTAACATCTGACAAAGTCACAGAGCAGAAAGGACATCACAGCACTGCACAGGCTTGAAAAATCATCAGGAAGAAGCCTACAACTGTGAGTACCAGAGTGGCAAAGAAGGAATGAAATCCAGTATTAAGAGGTCACGCATTGGAGATGTATCGTAAGAATGTGTGCTGTAGCTGTGATCTGGGTAGTCCTTGTCAGATAGAGGAGGAAAAAGACCTTGGGGCACTAGTTAATGACAAAGTGGTCATGAGCTGCTGAAAGAACATGGCCATGAAAAGGGTAAATATAACCCTCCCAGTATAAAGTGAGGGTTTCTGGCAGAAAAGCAAATGCTGATGTCATTCTCCAAGGAGCTATGAGGACTCTCCTGGACAACTGCATACAGTTACGGTTCTGGCTGTCCCAGCAGATTAACTGATTTGGAGAAAAGGGCAGGGAAAGGTGATCTGGGTGATAAAGAAACAGGGAATCTAATCCTGAGATTGCTTTGCTTGCCCCGACAAAACGAGAACTGGGAGGAAACATGGCGACTCTATATAAACCTGAGGGAAAATCCTGCAGAGGTAGAGCTCTCTGGTGGGAACTCACACTCACACAAGAGCAAATGGGCATAAACAAGGGAGGAAGAATAGGGGGAGTAGGTTAGAAAACAAGGAGTCTCTAGCCCACAGAAAGGAGCAATTATTTATTTCTGGAGCAATCTTATTTCTGTTTAATCTAGAGCTGGATATATTTATGGAAGAGACGATGTAACACACTTGTTTACCAGAATGGAAAAGTGCCCTGTTAACCATGGGACAGGGCTCTTAGTCATAGGAAGCTGTCAGGAATAAAAAAAAATTAAAACCAAGTCCCACTGCCTCCTTCCTGCTGGTATTAGGGACCCTTACTACCATTTTTAAACTATACAGCTACCAAACCCGTCCGCAGTTGGGGTGACAGTTGTGCACAATTTTTCACACGAGCAATCCTCTGGATCAGAGCAGGGTGCTGTCAGGACCTGGTCTCAAGGAACCATTCCGCCTCCCCATGTGTGGTTTTGTGTATTGGAAAATAAGGCACTTCTTATCAGACGTACTTTTTACAGGCTGCTTTCTTCTGGTGGCCCTGCTTCCAAATCTCCCATGGTGGAAACGGGGAGGGACCCTCCACTGCCGGGACAGCGGTGGGCAGGCAGCGCTGGGCAGAGATGTGGACAGGGGTTGCGGGCAGCCCGGGGGAGCGAGCCCCTGCTCCCAGGCCTTCTGGGGCAGTCACAGCCCGTTTGGGAGCCTGTTCCTTGCGATGGCCGCTTGCGTTTGTCGCCGTTACCTTCCGCTGCGATGCCCTGCGCCCTCCCCGTCCAACACAACCACACCCCACACCGTGGCTATCTTTTCGTCCGCCCTCCCCTCGCCTCGGGCCCGGCGGGGCAGCCCCGGCCCCGCAGGCAGGGCACGGCACGGCCCACCCCGCTC